CGTTCTGCTTTTGAACCTCGTTATCTTAGTCTAAAGACTGCATTGTTTTACTGTTAAATGTAATTAAATTCTGATTTATGGTTACTACTGTATTTTGGGATGTTACATTAGTGGTATCAGAGCAGTTTTGTTCTCTTAAGGACACTGTAGGTTATGAGTGCACTGTGTTTTTGCTGTGTGCTTAATGTGTGTTTAATGAGTTATCTTTCGACTCTTTGAACATGACTAACGCTCGTTTTTCTCTGTTTTCCTGAGAACAAATGGCACCTAGACTCCCTCCTCCACCACAGCCCAATGAATCTGATGCGCCCAACAACACTAGGTTGTTGGAATCAGTGATAGATAGACTACAACAACAAAACGCTACCCTGATGGAACAAAATGATGCTGCCATGCAGAGTTTAGAGGCCGCTCGCGCCAACTCTAAGGCAACCCAGAGGAAGTTGATGGAAATTATCGCTGCCACCAGAGGTACACCAGGAGCGTCATCTTCCAACGCTAACCATCCAACTGAGTGGAGTTTGGAGAGTTTTCTACAACACCATCCGGCTAAGTTCAGTGGGAAGTGCCTCCCTGATGAGGCAGATCAGTGGCTGAGGGACATGGAAAGAATTTTCAACGCCAAGAGATGTCCGGATGAAAACAGGTTGGCGTTCACTGAGTACTTACTGACTGGAGAAGCGAGCCACTGGTGGGCAAGCATGAGAGCCATTTTGGCAGACGCTCAAAATCCCATCACATGGGAAGTATTTCGGGGCAAGTTTTATGAAGAGTACTTCCCAGACAGCGTCCGTTTTGCCAAGGAAGTGGAGTTTCTGTAGCTGGTACAAGGTCGGATGTCTGTATCGGAGTATACTAACAAGTTCAAGCATCTCGTCCGTTTCAATACGATGGCCACCAGTGAAGAGTGGCAGTGCAGGAAATTTGAGAACGGACTGAGAAGCGACATGAAGGTTTTGATTTCCAGCTTATGCATACGGACGTTTCCTGCTATGGTTGAGAGGGCCAAGGTATTAGAGAAGAACATGGCAGAAGCGGAACGACACAAGAAGCAACAACAGGTAGTTAGGGGGCCAATCGTATCAAGAAGCAACGTCAATCAGAGGAGAACCCCTTACGCTCGTCCGAATCAACCACCTAATGCGAGTGGGTCTCAAGCATTGGTTCCTGCCGGACAGTCTGGGCAGCACGGAAACGTTACTTGTTTCCAGTGTGGAGGACCACACTACCGTTCTTCATGTCCTCAACTGGTGGGAGGAAAGCACTGCACACGTTGTGGACGGAATGGGCACTTGGAGAACGAGTGCAACATGGGTGGACGTGTAGTGATGAGGCCACCACATGCTGGAAGGAACCAACCGAGAGGTGGCAGAGCTCAAGCAGTGGGACGAGTGTATGCTATAACTGGAGCGGAAGCAGCAAGCTCAGGTAATCTTATCACTGGTGAATGCTTGCTGTATGGAATATCCTGTCGTGTGCTGTTTGATTCTGGGGCGACTCACTCCTTCATCTCGAAGGCGTGTGTTGAAAAATAAGGAATAAATGAGAGGGAGATGCAGTTCGACTTGGTGGTGTCAACCCCAGCGGCTGGAGAGCTTAGGACATCTACCGTATGCATTAGATGTCCTATTGTGGTTGAGGGGCGTAGTGATAAGGTGAACTTAATCTGTTTGCCTTTGAAGGAGTTAGAATTGATTTTAGGAATGGATTGGTTGGCTACCAATCACATTCTTATAGACTGTGGTATGAAGGAGTTAATTTTACCGGATGAAGAAGAAGAAGAAGAATTATCAGTGACGCTCGGCCAACTGAAAGAAGACATTATGGAAGGCGCCAGTTGTTTCTTGATAATGACGCATGCAGACAAGGAAGTTGGAGATGTGAATTTTGAACGATCGTCTAACAACGAGTCCAATGGAGGACGATCGGTTGTGGAAGAATTTCCGGACGTCTTTCCGGAAGAAGTACCTAGACTGCCTCCCGTTCGTGAGGTTGAGTTTACCA